AATAAAGGCTGTGTTCATGTTCCCATAAGAGGCACAGTTTTGAAGTCTTGAAACACTTCATTAAGCAAACTGTTGCCTGTGACATCCAGTATTCTGCCAAAATGTACTCAGAGCAACCATCTCATCAGCTAAGTTATGTATGAATCTGTTATTTAAGACCATAAACCAATGCAAAACGCTCTGTTATGTGTTCAGTTGATTAAATGGGATACATTTTTCTCACTGCTTTGCCTGCTTTTCTTCTAATTTTGGATCCAAGCAGCTGAATCTTTTCAGGGATTAAACACATTTAAGTGGCTTTGCTGTATGAATTATTGGCAAAGTAAGTAGGGATGTGATGGAGGCTGCTGTGATACTGGTTTCCCAGAAAAACAAAAGTATGCAGAGAATATATCTGCAGTCAGATTTAAGTATACTGGGCCACACCCAAAGCTGGTACAAGCTGGGGTAGCATCACTGAATTCTGTGGGAAGTCTCTGGTTTTCACCAGTAGAGGATCTAGCCTCCAAGTTTAAATCAGAATGCAACCTCTCCACCTTGATTCTGCTTATTTTTACTTGGTGTTTGCAGCATGCCATATGGTTGATATGGAGTCCAAGCCTAGAAAAAAATAGATCTTTCAGGGCCATAACTGGAAGCTATTAGGTAGTTGTAGGCAGCTGTTAACGCTTCTAATTAAAAGAAGGGGCTCTCTTATTTATTGTTTAAAAGGAAACTCTGAGATTGTCATTTTGTCAAGGTGGGTGTGAGAATTCTTGGCTTTCCTGTCCAAAAGGCGCTGGTAGTAACCAGAGGGGTGGGGATGGCTGGAAGGATTGCAACAGACATTGTCATACAGTAGCCCTCTCCATTTCTAATTAGTGCCATAAAAAGATGCTTCAGAGTAAGATATAAAACTCCCAAAATGGATGAAGTTTCTCTTTAACCCCAGAATGTTAGTTTTTGGTTTAGCTTGAGGGCAGGGGCGGACTGGCCTGGTGGGATACCGGGAATTTCCTGGTGGGCCATCGTGTCCGCACACCATTGCCCCTCACTCCAAACGGCTCTGCGTCCGCACTGTATGCAACACGCAGAGCCCGACCCGCTGCCTGCGCCGTGTGCTGGACATAACGCGGGGGGCAGGACTTGAGGGGCATGCAGAGGTGACATCATGGGGAGGGCCATTCTCAAACCATTTCCTGGGCCTATTTTGCTTGCCAGTACGCTCCTGCCTGAGGCACCAATCACTTTTAAACTGTTGGGTCCTAGCTAGTATAACTGTGAGTGGTTTCATGAAATGTCTAATCCTACCAAGCCCTTTGCCACAAGGATATCACAAGGCAGGGGGTATTGCTTAATTCTGGAGGTTTTGTCTCTTGCAGCTTTCTCCTTATCTGTAACCATTGACCAACGTGGCCTCCTTTAACGTCTTCCTTCACAGAACGAGGAAAACAGGGTCCTTTTGAGGAGTAAGTATGTAGGTGCAGAAGAAATCAGTTTTATTTGGTGGCCCATGTGAATGCCGCAGCTGCTCCAGGAATATGCGGGGTGGGTGATATGGTATGGAGGGGGATCACCATGGGCGTGGTATTGCTGAAACAGCAGAGAATGGGGAGGAGCTGCAGTGAGTGCCATGGTTTGTACACACTTCCTGGCTCATGAAGTTGCAACTGACAAAGAAGCAAACCGCAGAAGCCCACCTGTTGCCACAGGAAGACATTTTGATTCAGACTCGTGGTCCACTGCAGGGACTGTGAAGCCAAAGCAAGGAGGGATGTGTGTGCACTTTCTCTCTGGTTTTCTGAAGAAATAAAAGGTTGTGAAAGAGAGAATTCTGGGAGATTTGGTTTTATGTATCCCTCTCCCTCCCCACACATATGCACTAGAGTTCCCCACCAAAAAGACACTTCCTCTCAAAGTTTCTGCAAAAACTCAGCCTGAGTCATTCCCAGGTCATGGAGAATTTGAAAGTGCATTTGGAGTCTTTGTTGCAATACGGCAGTGATCTGCTGCTGTTTTAGTATGTTTGGAGTTTTGTTTAAGCCCATTTATTTTGACTAAAAAAGTCTGTCAGATGCATAAAAGTGCCAGCTCGAGCTGTGCCAGTCCTTGCACCAAAGTCACCCCACAAAAAGTGGCTTCTCCCCACACCCACTATCCTAAGGTGACATTTACAGAGAGAGTGCAGGTCTGGGAAGAGTTGTACTGTAGCAGTAGACGCCTGCAGATAAGAGGATGTTGCTTGAATTGTCTATGGGGCTTTTAGCAAGTAGATAGCTTGAGAATTTGAACCATACCTGATACACCATTGTGAAATCAGCAGGTCCGGCTGCACCACAGACTGCAATTGATCTTGAAAGCTGCCACAGTGTTTTCCAGCTCATCACATAGTATTAGATTTCTAAAATCTTTACTAGGATTTGACACCTGCAATTGGGAGAAGGGAACGGGCTTTATTAATGTTGCTTCTTCCTCAGGAATAGATTTGAAACTGCTGTATACTTGGCATCCATTGGTTAAAGCCCTGGGGCAAAAATAGC